AATCAGGGTATGCATTCAAAAGTTAAATAGTTTTAAGTGCACTTTCACCTAAAACGCATGATTTTAACCCAAAATCAACACCACTTAATATGGTATCATAGTACATTATTGTAAACCATAAAACTCAAAAGTTTAAATAAAACTCTTTCAAATGATATATAACTTGATTGGTAAAAAGTATATTTTACTCATGTAATTACAGTAATTAGAGGCAATTAGAAATATAGTCTCCCAACCTGCATCTCTACCTTTATTAATTGAACGTGACAGTTTTAATTATTGTCAATTACCTGATATGGACTGATGTCGCCATACTGGGCATCATACTATAAAGCAAAGTCTGACTGAAGGTCATACGTCATATACTCACAGTTTCGTAATAGAATCATCGTGACATGCCGGAAGCTACTGCTAGAATAGGTTGAAGCCGTCTCGGTTACTTACACGTGAAACACAAACGTTTAATTTTGAACAATAAAGAGCAATTCGAAATTATAGAAAAAGGAAAAATTGTGAACTTGCCAACTGTGTTAAGCAAAGGCAGTATTAAAATAGGTGTTTGATTTTACAACCGAATCAGAATTTTTCAATGATTCAAAACACATCCACTGAGTTTCATGATTCTCCGTTCATTTTACTAATTTGAATATTGATTTGAGTCTTCACAATTACTGCAAATATCGAAATGATGGAAATGCTTTTTTTCTTTCAAAATATACGATTTGCTGAAATAATGAGAGTATATTTTTCTCAATTTAAAAAAAAAGTTTTGTATATCCATTTTCTCATCGATGTACAATCACATCTAATAGAACTGCCGACCTAAGATACCACCAAGACAAATAATAACCAAACACGTTAGCGTTCGGTCAGAAAACTCAAATAAAAGAACATGGATCGACCATTGCAACAGGGAATATATTATACGTTACGGCACCCATTATCAACCGGAATTAATGTGTCCGATATTAAAAAGCGCAATTAGCTGCCCGTTTTATCGCTCCAATCACGTGAACGAGAAAGTTGAGACAACATCGGTGACTAATCAATATAACCTGGGGCATTCATGCAGAACGGGAGCAAGTACTGTGAGGTAATTTTCCTCACAGTCCTCACAGCTCGCGACATTATTGCATTCAGATATGCATTCTATATGTGAGTATGGAGATATATGATTAATAAAAAAGTAGAGAAATACATGCTCTTAGGTTGAATTTATTAAATTTACTCTTGACGTATGAGCCTTGTTAACTATTGTCCTGACAATGCACATGTGGCCCTTTTTGAACGGAAGCGACTTTTCACATAATAAAAACATGCAATGGTCGATTTTGTGTTCAGCTGACAAGTTACTTACTTAGAAACGATATTAAAGAAAGAACCGTAATAAGTGAATTGTGATATCGGGTTTAAAGAACAAGTCCGGTATCGTCCATATGTTAATGGTCTTTTCGAAACCATTTTAAACAATCTAATATCCTGGTCACGAATGTGATATTTCATTTAATATTTTCGTCAATATATTTTGTATCGTCTCATTTGTATATGTAAACCATCGCCAGTCCTTAAACACAATTCAACTCCAAATGTTGCCCCACATATTTTCCCCTTCAGCACGTTATCCGACCTTAAGTTAGACCGTTGTGATTTTACTCACGAACCCATCAATTAACTCACTTTCTCATTTAAAACATACGACAATTATCAATTATTTAAGCATTTGAAGTTTGTTCGGTACACATACATGTCCGTGGTTGCCTCGTAACACATACGTACTTGTTTGCGGTTCTTGTATGAAATATACGCCCGTCATAGCCTCATTTGAGGTTGGTTCACGACAAATACAGTCTCGTTAGTGCTCGGCTAATGGCGTATATGCCACTCATTCAAGGTTGTGTGTGATACACCCTAGACTGGGGTAGGTACATGACGTATAAACTCTTATACATTCACGAGATTCCTTTTGTTCAAGGTTGGTTCACGATATGTAGGCTCTCCTTCAAAACTGATGCATGAGATTTGTTCCTCCACGTTCGTGTATAACTAACTTATATTAACCAGAATTATCAGAATTATTTAACTTCCTATTTATATTTATGATACATATTTATTGTCACGGTATTGTCACGGTCATCACAGTGTCCATATTGTTAACATCACGAAGTATACATTTGTATACGTTTTGTGTACGATTTGAGATATTTTTGCGACGTGGACTGTGCAGGCATTCGTTGTTCCCCGCCCTGCAAGGCAGTGTTTAATATACAGCTAACTACTACGAATAATCAAATATCACATTTTACCCAAAAGCAAACAAAAATATGAAAACAGCTGTAATCGAAATCAGTTATATATTATTGTTAAACATTTCCCCATTATTCTATAAAAGATGTTAAACTTGACAGTAGAAATATATTAGGTGCTCACCAGGTCACATGTGCCGTCATCCTTAGTAATATATTGTACATGAAACAGTTGAATGACGTCATTAGAGCTCAACGGGTTTTATTGCTTACATATGACATCATCTTAGTAGTATAGACTGTTAGTAAAACGAATCACAGTGACGTCAGAGAGTAGTAAACAAATTGTCTAAAATAGGATAATACCGGATAATCTAATAAATTGCAAGATGCACGTGCATTGAATCGGGAATGAGTAAATCTTAAATAAAACATTGTTACTCATAAACTCTTAGTACCCCTAACATAACTTGCCATCGTTAAAAATTGGCATACACTGGTGACATGTTAAGGGCTTACTTAACGTCCAACATGAATCCTATCTAACTCTGGTCATTAACGCGTCAAATGAAACCGTCACGGTGTGTGCAACTGTCAATTGCACGCATATGAGGTCACAGTTTGTCGTTGACGTATATTTGCAAGAATCATTGTTCACATCAACTTTTCCCATCACGACTTTAATCCAGACTGCTTTAATATTTTTAGATGGTATTATAACTCAGCGTGGTAGTAATATTAGAATATTCATGATCAACGCGTGACGTTAATATCAATATCGCCACGATGTATTGGCAAATGCTGCAGTAGTATCCATGGAAACATATTTAAAATCACTTGACTTTAAACGTAAAGTGACACAGGGGCAATCGCTATGGTAATATGTGATGTCAATTCTACTAACCTTACAACCCTAAAACTGTTTCAATCGGCGGTATTGGTTTAAAATCCTCATTTTAGGTCTTGCGGTTACTGTGAGCAAACGATTCCTTTTTATATGCAAGCAATAATGTTATATTGCATCATAAATTGAAACCGTTACACATGGGTTCCTACTGTGGGTTAACGCGTTTATCATATCAAGAAAACTAATACGCTTTTGCCGAATTTAAGAATTCTCACGATCTCACTTCATGATATTGGTCAATTCAGTTTCTTTTCAAATAACTGCTAGTGATTGATCATTTCAATTATCTGATTGTAAAATGCTATCATGACTACCCGAAATCGGACTATTTGACTACAATCCATTTTCACTCAAGGATATAATTGCGTGTAAGACATGCAATGTCGGAACAAAGTATGCTATCAATTTTGACTACTGTAATCCTCAACGAATATGCTAGGAATTACATCCATCATTTACATTTACTACGCAATCCATTCAACTTTAAAGATTCACAGCAGACAATTACAAATGTATGTGTTTTCCATAGGTGTGTGGCACATGTGATATACATATGTTTGCATTAGAGACTACTGGTATGACGTACACATGAATTAAATATCGGAGCAACAAATTAAGGCTTACTTTACATAGCAAAACAAGATCAAGGTTTAAATAGTGTCACTATGTGAGAGAATCTTTTATGGGGAAAATACGTTTTACGATGAATGTAAAATTGCCAGCTATGGCCGTTCTAATTTGACTCAATGTATCATGGGTACGTGCGTGAACATATATCATATCGTCGTTGAACATGATACACTCTTAACTGCGGATCGAAGTTGGTTGTAATTCAGGAAGCTAGGCGCCATAATGCACGATGTGACAGAAATGATGAATGTGTGTTATCGATTTTTAATCAGAAAGCTATGTAAATTAGACGTAATTACCCAACATGTGACCATTTATCACACTACAATAGGGACAAATTGATGTCACGTTTGTTAGACAATTTGTACTTTCACCGCAGTGTAATACGATTTCTATGTAAATATACGACCTGTGATGACTAACCAGAAAAAACATCTAAGTCATAAATAGGTGTTATTCCAGTATTGTATTGATTACACCCTATTGATAGCAATTGAGGGCGCCATATAGAGATCATTAGTAGCATGGATGAATTATGCAATAAATGGAGCAGAACACTGAGAGTGACTTTGTTCACAAACAAGAGTAATATCTTTTAAAAGCAGTATATTCATTCGTGTAAAATCAATGTTAGAAAACACTTATTTACATTGTGTGCGATATATTTAGATGTTGCACGTAAAAGTTTTTGTTGAGGCGTCAAGTAGACATGGGTACATTGAGAGCATATAGTAAGAGCTTTTTCTGAATACAAGAAATTGGGTGGATCATATATACATATGAAACAGTGCTGACATACAGAAGCGTCGTGATGGGGAATACTGTGAGAATTGTTGGTTGTACTGAAGCATTAGCCTCACAAAATACATTCCTTCCCTGCCCTCGTGGGGGATTTTTTTCCCGCAATCTATCAAAGGTTACGTCGTGGGGCAAGTTAAGTGTGGTGTACCACGGGGAAAACGATTCGTATCATACACAACTTGTTTATAGGAATGATTAGGTTGTAATGAAAGACCATGTGCACATAAGAATACTGGTGTTGTCGAAATATGAAATGGGGACACTAGTATTATTGTGGCATACATAGACTTGCAATGACCTGTATGGGCACTAAGATTAAGAACACTAATGGCTGTATAGGGATTGACCAATGCAGGCATGCATTACGTCATAATCTTACGAGAAACATGTATGGCAGTGCTGCCTCTATGGAGCTTATAAAATAAACCATTGGAGCAATAATAACATTGCCGCCCAACGACAACGTTCAGATAATTCATTGGGCATTTTAAACATTGCTGCTTCTATGACAACCTCGAGATAAACAATGTGGATAACATGAAACTATGCCTTTTACAACATTGAGATAAACTATGGTACAATATAAACATTGCTGTTACTATGACAACCATGAGATACACCAGGAGACAATATGAAGATCACTGCCTCTATGGCAACTGTGGAACCTCAGGGTTCTAGCCATTACCTAAACACAGTTGTGCATTACTGGATTCTACATAAGTCACTGTCTTGAATTCCAAATAAATGTTACTTCACAAATTCTTATAAAGCACCAGAAAGAATTATTTATTAATTTATTTGTTATAATTACATTGTAGTTTTACCATTTTGAATATCTATAGAGCTGGCTTTTCTGTCATAGCCATGTATGCATAAATGTGTAGTATTGCCAATATTACTAATTATTTGTGAATCGCACAGGCTGAACGATCATATAGATGCACGTCTCAAGTGCAATCGTACCATACAAATGTGTAGACAAGAAGCCAATGACGCTCGCTTCCCTGTAGTAATTCATTTTATAAAACCATTAAACCGTACGCAAGTTATCATTAAGCCATTCAAGCAGTTTGATGTGCATCCACCCTCTATGTGCGTAATGGCGCTATGTACTTTTCTTGACCTGCTAGTTGAGTGAACTAAAGAAATGAAGTAATCAACAGAGTCCCTCAAACGCACAAGGTCATACCTTCAAACGCGGTCTGCTATAAATAATTTAAAATCGCTCTCTATGCATTTAGATGCTATTTAAATTTATTTGAATAATCCACTAATCTGTTAATCCCAACACAGCTTCTTGGTTTTATTAAAGTACGTTTTAACATCATAAAATGTAATGAACATCCTAGATTCGTGAATATTTATATTTCTACGACCACATATTTCTTCATGTTCTCTTACAAGGTACAAATGTAGGCAAACAATGCCCCTCCAATTACCAACACATATTCATGCGCACACCCCTACGCTTTATGGCAACACCTTAATTGAACACAGTGGGTCAAAGAACTACAACCAGTTGCAAAGCAATCGGTGCAAACCCAGTCAATGTGTAATGTGATGAAATATTGATCAATCAGTATTGTGTATGTTGCCAATCATTAACACATACATATATAAGAACACGAGAATGCTTTCTGACTTACTCTGTAATTACTTTTTTTCCGCAGGATGAACGGTACCAAATAATCACCACTCGAGTATGGCTTCACCAGGTAAGTCGCGTCTAACAGAACGTGCCCTTTCGATAAAGATTGGTCAATAATTGCCTAACATGCCGTGTACCTTTCATGTCGTGACAGAATAATCGTCTACTGTGATGACGGTAGTGCGTATATAATTACACCGTATATCGCTTCAGATTTGTCAAATCACCGTTTGATTGTTATAATGTTGAATAATAGTTCATAGTGGTTGCGTAAATATAGTTGCTTCATATACTTTATTCAATATCATTTATCGGTAATATTATTCATAATTGTGGTACAGAAATAAGTGTAATTCTTCTAAAAAGGCATCCAGATCCAAGGGATTTGGGTTTCCTATGATTGCTTGAAACTGTTCTGATTATATTATTATTATTATATAACTTTATATATAGCAATGGAACGATACACGACTGAAATGGAACCCAGAACAATATGGCGGACTAAACACAATTGTGGTTACCATGGATACTATATGGACACCTGATACGTCACTGTTAAACAGGTATTGTACGGTCATATCATATTAATATAAGTTGTTGCATTCGAACTAAACAACACGATTACAGAGTTCAACAAACTTCCAACGGTTCATGTAGAAGTCGTCACAGTCTTAGTAATGAACATTATTGCTGGATATTAGTACAGATGAAGTCAATGACGGTTAATAGTGTGGCCGTATAATTAAGGTGAACAGGAATCAGGATTCAAAATAGATAACGAACGTGTTCGCTTAATATATCTTTGAGCTTTGATAGATGCGATGTGACTACATGACGACATTTGGTATTTTTTTTTTATTACATGAGTTATACATACCTGTCTGAGTTGTGGTTACGGTAAACATTAATCAAATTTTGTTCTTATTATGCCATCTTTTCTCAATTACTGACAACGTAAATTTAAACTGGAATTTGGTTTAAAAGAGCAAACACATTCAGGTGTTATATTGTTTGCTGTGCTTCCAAGATTTGAACATGTGCAGAAAAAATGATATCCAATGCATATAGCAGCAAAAAAAAGGGTACTCTAGAAACACTTTCACTGTAGTGTCGATGAATATATATCGTGTTTAAGGTAATTAATGCACAAGTTTTTCTTAAAGCAAGAAACTTCTAGCAAACATACTATGTGAACGCGCAGAATAACGTGTTGATTTTATTATAATTCTTCACTGTGTTTGCCGTCGTACACACACATTATTATTTTGTACGTACCTTCACTGACGATGAGGGACTGATTTACTTAAAGGCATATAATGAACCAATAATTTCTTAAACACTGTCAAATTAGAAATTGTGGTGTGAGCTGTTTTATTAAGCTATTCCTATATTTAATACGGTCAAAAGTATATTAACTTAACGGAAATAATTATTGTGAAAAATACAACGGCACAATTAATAGACAGACAGGACGGCGAAGAATGATCTAGGCATGTTTGTTGCTGGTGGGGTTGATGACGACCGCAAGACAGATCAGAGTTTACACAACCACGCATACAAGTAAATTCCATACATGTTCAAGAGTTGGAGATGATTAAGTTTCCCTTTGGGCGTTATATTGCAAAGAATCCCTTGTCACGACTAAACATAGAATCATAATCAAAGAACGTGGTACAGCGCATGAAAAAATATTAAATATAGACAACGTGCGCATAAGATAAAGATTGCGTAATTTGCTGCGACCTTTTGGTTATTTATTGTGAATCCCAAGGTATTTTCTCATTTTTTTTTGGAATAGTATACTAAGAACAATCACCCCGGAAGGGATTCTAAACATCTCCAAATGCGGTTCTCGTGAGCATGTTTCGTTAATTCACTAGGCACACATGAGGATTATTTATTTTAAGCAGTTTAATGTATTGTTGTGTTGAAATAACCGATGAAAAATTGATTTTAGAAACTTTCGATGTGTAATTACAATCTTTATGGAGAGTTTGATTGGTATAAGCACAGTCATGCAAATAGTATGTTTGTTCGTGAAATGTTTTGTCTTGTAGATTACAGCAAAGCTATGAAAGAATTATTTTTAGGAAGGTTAGAAACGATTAAAACAATATCTACGTTGTAAAGGGCATTTCGTGCACACATTTACGCCACAGGCGAGAGGTGCCGCTAGATGGCGCGACTACCAAGAATGGTGTATTTAACTTTACTTTGTTTCTTGTAGCGCCGACAGCGAATTTGGCGGTTTTCCCAGGATGTACCTTCCTGACTTGACAGCAGTTATTACGTCCGCGGGAACAGTGATCCAGTCGATTCCAGCCATACTAAGGACTCCATGCACCATGGATATAACCTACTTCCCAGTGGACACCCAAATATGTTATATAAGGTTCGGACTGTGGATGTACGTCAACAGACAAGTGCAGCTGATCTTGAAAAGAGATAACGTACCAAAGGAAAACTTCGTGCCTAACTCTGAGTGGGATATTATTGGGACGAGAGGGCGCGCTGCGATCTCTCCGTTTCTCTTAATCAACAATGAGCCCTGTACCGACGTGACTTTTGATATAACGATAAAACGGAAACCATTATACTATGCAGCGAACTTGATCATTCCATGTGTGTTGGTGAACTTCCTTACTGTTGTTGTGTTTTCGCTTCCATCGGACTCCACTGAAAAAGTTAATTTAAGCATTTCCCTTCTACTAACGCTCTATGTCTTCAGCCTACTCGTGGCGGAGTTGCTTCCACCGACATCCAATATGGTGCCGATGCTCACCGCCTATTTGATATTCAGTATGATGTTAATAGCTGTGTCTGTATCTATGACAACACTGGTTGCCATGGTGTGCCAGAACTCAACTGGGAGGCGTCACGTGCCACACTGGGTTAAAGTGGTTTTCTATCGGGGAATCGCAAAAATAATATTTGTAGATGTGGATAAAAAATTCTTCCGCTGTATGTCACCCAGGGCAAAATTAAAACGCTGCCAAAAGTTTAACAATGTGTACGATGCTTTTGAAGGCGAGACTTCATTTATAGCGTTAAGAGAACGAGCTCGAGAGGAAGCGGAAATACAGCACACACTAGGACTGGTCCATAGCCATGTGTCGGCTATAAAGACTCACTGGAAGCGAAACCCGGTGAAGAATTCCTCACATCATTTTCAAACCAATTCAAAACAGGGAATGTATTGGAGAAAACAAATACGGCAAATGCGAAACTGTTTTACAACAGGACTCGAACAAAAAACTGCTAAAATGTCCAAGTACCTTAGTGTATTTTTGCAGCATTTGGTTCCAAACGAGGAGAGGATCGAGGTAAGTTCAGATTAACATATATGGTAATTATACTCGTCAACCGAATCACATGTCTCCAACTATTTTAAGACAAATAGGTGTCCGAAGGCCTTCAAAAGCGCTGGTATAGTGTGGCTTGTGTCATGTACGTGCACACTATTGTATATTTTACAGTACTGCGAATATAATGATATGAAACTGAAATATACTCTTAAATATCTCATAGTTACACAGGCAGTGATGTTCGTTGACGTAGTAATTAATAATGACCACAAGCCCCCCCCCCTCCCCGATCCATATGTACATGAGCAATAGTGGTAATGAACGTGACCTGTAACGTCGGCTAGGACACTGTCATTATCATCTGAACTTGGCCTGTAACGACGGCTAGGACACTGTCATTATCATTTGAACGTGACCTGTAACGTCGGCTAGGACACTGTCATTATCATTTGAACGTGACCTGTAACGTCGGCTCGGACACTGTCATTATCATCTGAAGGTGACCTGTAACGTCGGCTAGGACACTGTCATTATCATCTGAACATGGCCTGTAACTATGGCTAGGCAGCTGTCATCGCTTCCCTCATGTTCATGTACTCGAGCGATGGTGAGCGATCATTTCACAGTGCCGGCAAATATAACGTAAAAATATATTAGGATCCCATGAAGTGCATTGTTACCCATGGTAACACCTCCACCTTCTAGTCTACGTGGAATTTGAACATTAATGTTTTGGTCTTCACTGGGCATACAATTCCGTCAAAAATAAATATCTCTGTCCTGTTCACTATTTGTACAAAAGCCCATTAGAGCCAAATTCAAAAGGTAAAAAAATATCTCCAAATTTCAACTTAACGTCTCGAAATTTCGAGATGCCAAGTCGAAATGTCGAGACGCTAAGTCGATATTTCGAGATGCCATGTCAACATTTTTTTGTTTAAATATTTTGATATTTTTTGTTTAAGCTTTGAATTGGGCTCTAATGGGCTTCCGCACAAAGTTATGCCTGACTTTTTATGTTAAAAATATTCTTGCAACATAATACGTATGAAATGATTTGTCACAACTAAATGTAATAATTATATTTATGTGAGCCATTATAACCGAAAAGCTAATATCCCATTTAAATTTTGTTATTTTACATAATATTACATGTACCCACACTGTCATTCAGAGTTATTCATTTTGCCAAATCGAGTCAAGTTATTTCGGCACAAAATCAATATTCATTATAGTTGGCACTTGTGGATAAATTGTAGTCGGTAGATATCGTTCTTACATGATAAAACAACGTTACTTTTTGTTTTATTTTTGCTCTCTCAGACTGCCTATACCCACCGGGTGCATTCCAATATACTTGCCAGCGTTGGGTTTGCATTTTAAATATCGTCTTTCCAAACACCCCTACTGGGTTAACCTTTGAATTATATAACGTGATGCAATCACTCTATCTAGTCTCATGCACTGATAACGTTATGAGGTTAACTTCCCTCTAGTGAGTTGATGGGTTCCATTTGCAATTGCTGTAAAAAAAATGCAATCTGGATCGAGTCTATTATTCAATCGTAGATGTCCGACGAATTGTGTTAACTGTTCTATTATTACTCTGACAATATGAATTGTGATTCAATCATGCTCTTAAAACCATGACAACCCCAGCGGGATATTACATGATAACTATCTCTTAACAAAATGCATGAGTAACCAAAGCATTACCTACGTAACTGCCGATTTATTGATTACCTGAGACCACTTAATACAGCGGAAGTTGTGTTAAAGTATTTTTCGTCCTGGAACTGCACTTAATGTTGCGTGCTAAACAATTTATAGTCAGATGTACCATTAGAAATTCCATGGAAACTATACTGGTAATAAGTTCACTTCACACCGCTTCATTAATTACATGTGCTTAATGGCTTTTCAAATTATATAATGCTTTTTTTTCAGATCCAGGAAGAGTGGAAACTCCTTGTTGCTATTATCGATCGGCTCTTGCTTCTGTTCTTTGCTGCTTGCAGTTCTCTTGGAGCTACTATTATGCTATCAAAGATCACGTGACGGGAATTACACCATGGTCAATGGGACCAGGTCATCATGAACTTCTCCAAAACATCTACCAGATTTGATTATTCGCATTGTATGGATGTGATAACTGAGTACCCAACCATTAGAGTTGTATTAAATGCAATCGTTACATACATCTTTCGTATGTCGCTAAGAACATCAGGACATTGATAATCACTCTGGTCTTTGTATCATCACATTGCATTATTGACAATATGATGTTCATCGTGTGAATGCATTTGTTGTGCTTCATTATCATTAGTAGTGGACTATTTCTAACTCATTTATTATGTTACAAAAAAAGACTATATTTAATATTATAATTGGTTCATAAATATATTTATTCGTTTCTGCGGACTTCGGCACTATTATAAACATTCTGATTATAGAAGAAATCGATACAAGTATGAAGACATTTTCCGGATTAATTGTGTGGCTTAGATGATAGCAAGGTTTTATAACCCATTTTTAACACAAATGGAGATGTCACTCATGAACTCGCGTGTGTATTTTATAATTGACAACCAGCCAGTTGTAGTTCACGTTTATGCCAAAGTTGTAGGTAAGAAAATTATATAGATGGCGCTGTTTTGCTATTTCATCTATTACACTAAATCATACGATTCTTACCTTCGAGTACTATAGAAATTGTTCATGTTTCAAGATCGGGCTGGGGGGTCAACACATATGCAAATTAAACTCGTAAGGATATGAAGTGTGCCTTTGTATTTTCGACATAGAAACGTTGAACGTGTTCAACTGTTTTATCATAATGTATACATTAAAGTAGCTTTCAATCAATCATAGTTTGTATTCTTAATAGTGATTTGTAATATATTCTAATATATTAAACGTCAATCCATGTTACAACGTGTAATATGGTAACTTACATTTTACTTTTGTTATTTTCATTTGTGTAATTAATCTTGATTCAGTAATTTCACAATTTATTCACAAAATTAAATTAATTTATTCAGTATGAACATTACATGGCTTAAGTGGCGAATAACTAGCTATGTGTAACGCGTGTTGAGGTAAACATAATATCTATTTACATTGTGCATCTTGGTTCGATATATTTGACTGTTTGTCCCCAAGATGTGTCAGGTATAGTAATATAATCTTGGCTATAAGAAAGTCGTCGGAGTAATGGATCTCACTGTAGGTGTGATTGCCTAACTTTTTTGAGTAAAAAACTGGCTATTTTATCACTCAAGAGTTAAAAGTTAAATTTCGTTTAATTATGTTGAGCCTACTAGACAGACTATGATAGTAATAAAAGCCAGACTCTTTGCATGTACAGCTTCAATATTAAAATAGTTTTAACCTAAGATCTAAGGCTCTTCCATCAATGTAACTCTTATATATATAATCTAGCGAACTCGGCTGACCTGTGTCTTTCATTTGAAATACAGTGGACAATACTATTATGAGGTCGACACATTTAATCGATTTATATTCACTGCATATAGGACGTCGTGTGCACGGTGTTCTATATTAGTCGATTTATACAACCCCGTTAATGCAAAATACATTAAACTTACCATGTAGTTAATGTTAGTTTAAATTGACTTTGCAATTTGCACTTGTTAGATATTCATGTTGTTTATAAGCAATTAAACCCGCAATTGTCTACTAATGGGTGAATGCTCGAGCGCACCCCCCCCCCCCGCTCGTGAATCCATCTTCCCATATTCCAATTCAGCGGGGTACTGTGATGCATTGGAACACGTTCGTTGCCTTCAATTAAAGCACAACCGTTGTTGATAACGTTTCCATGGATAGGGAATGAATTAAACGAATTTGGTTATTCCGTTGTCAGGTCGTCTAATGGGTCAATTTTTTTGTCATGTTACGCAGTTGTTTAGCGATGAAAGACAATAATACAGGTTGTTATTGGCAGTATTCGAGAAATCTGCCATGGTGAATGAAATGAATCATTTCCATTCCTGATTCCGTGTTTAGGCATAACTCTCCCCCACAGTTAACGTAATTATTTTGCCATGCATGCATTGACAAGTACACGCTATAACCATTGAATAATGTATGTAGAGTTTTCACAAGATTTTCAATAATAACCTTTTGCAAACTTTGACTGACATTCAACAATTTTTCACGTTTCTTTTCTCTGATCTCGTTTTTGTTCGCAATTGCACTAGTTTCACTACTAAATAACACATGCCATTAAATAACGCATGTAAAGTTGGTCACACGTCTTTGGGACGTGCTTATTTTCGACAATGGTTATTAGAAATATAGCATTCATTTTAATGTTTACAACGAAGATATGACAGGTCGTTAATAGTAGGTGACTGTGAATGGTTAATAGCATAGCACACACATAAGGCATGTGACGTCCATCTGATGGCGGACATTTGTAATGTCATGGATGAGTAGAGATGAATGTCACCTTGGTAACCGATGAATAAGTTGAAAATTACACACACGGCGGTTCGTTGCCAATCTACGACACGTTCAATCGACATATCGCATTAGGAAAGAACTTGCCTGATTATTGCCGTCACTAAAATGCATTGTAATGTGGCAGTGTCCGCATGCGGCTAATCAAGCGTATTCTGGCAAACCTTTCAATTCGTCAAGCCGACTAAGCTTAGTGCGTCTATCCCCGTTTCACAGGTAAGGTGACGTCCATCTTGCATTTGTTAAAACTTAGTCAACCATGTGGTTCTAAGTACAGTTATTATGTTTAAATGTGGTGGCAGACAAGGCGCGTGAATACGGGGTCACTCGTCATGTTGTACTGTATTTATCTATAATTGCAGATATTTAATCAGCTTCGATATAAGTATAAGTTTCATTACGTATTATTATACACGGTCGTATTGATATATATATAATATATATTTTTGAGTTGAGCACTGATTTTGCTTTTTGTTAATATACATATTTTGATGTTAGAGAATATCAACATCAACATCAGCTTCAATTAATATACGCAAAACATGTTCAAGTTGCTATATATGAAGGGAGAATACGATTCGTCCACACTTGACTGACTGGTATAGACACTAAATACGTTTGCCTGAATACTATTACTTTAAAACTGGTATAATCTGGGCTGCGGTTATAAGAACACCCCAGGGAACATGGTCGCTGACTAGAACATGAGAGCGTGAACTTGATTTGGGAATTTTAAGACGACTGGACATTTTCCAATAAAACAGATTGTTTTGACTAACACTCAGATTCATTAACACAAATTTTAGAAACAGATTTAATATACAATGTATACAATTAGTTATCGCTATATTTATTCCTCACGCATGACAGTAAAGAAATAATTCTGAATTTATATATATAAAATAACGCGGTTGTAATCCAATATTAAAGATAACAATTAAACGTGATGTATGGGTATTTTTGAAAAATTATACAATATAAATATGCAATGACTTGTGATCATAAATCGGTGATGGTAATCTAATTATATCTAATTTGCATATGTAATGTTGACTGTGTTCAGTAAACTGTGAAGTTGAGAAGGTCACTTCTGTGAAAAAAAAGAATTAAGTACAATATTATGATGACTACTGCCGTATGTTATTTTGCATTGAATAAGATTCATTGAACATAAACTTAAATTTACGCATGCAGTTTATATTCTAATGTAACATCCGTATTTTACACGAGTACTGTCCTGTTCCTAATTGCATCGCGGTATTCGGATCAGATCTTAAGGTAATGTCAAATCATATAATTGTTCTAATACATTGTGTTCAACTATTTTATTGTCAATCGATTCCGTTCGAATATTGCATGGTGAATGTTTCCGTTAGTTTTAGGAGAACGATAACAATCTTCTCTCACTGATGGTTGACACCTTCAGCTCGTTGTAGGAAATTTGATATCAGAGATAGATATGAAAATTGCCCCGAGTGTTACGATCCTTGATTGGTCTTTATCTCTTCGTTGTATCAGTACGCTGAGATTACGGCTTGCAGCATGAATTGTTTCGTGATTCCCGACCAGCATAACGTGTATATTTTATATTTTTTTAAAAACACAGTGATTAATAAAAGGTCAGGCAGCTGAGAGCACTGCTGTGCGTGACACGTCACTTCCTGTCTTAACATAATATAATTCACAATGCGTGTTTATCAACTATTGCTACAGAGAAGCATGGGACACACGGAAAACAATTATTACTGTTTTACATATAAACTGTAGGACTGAAATAAACACCATGTCATTTTCAACAGTCTATGCAGAACGCAGGTTACCGTGTGTTGTTGTTGTTGCTGCTGTTGTTATGTATTTCAATTAAGTAATAATGTTAGGCTGACTGTTATTTAACAGACACAACACCATGATGTTTACCATGTACTCCGCCACTGATTTGTATTAGTTTTTAAACGTGATTTGTTCATCGAGAAGAATAATGGACGATTTCATAACATGCACGTATGCAGAGTATCTCTGTAAAATCATATTTAGTGTGCCCATTGCACACTACAAAACACAATGTCATTTATTGTAATTTATGTTTGCAATGACAATGTGTAACACGCTGTATTGACTTGAGTAATGAGGATATAGGATGAAGAATACACGTGTGTGGGTAACACGGCTGTGTAATCAGGTGTACTAAATATGTTCTCATGTACTCGTAAAAACCACATTATTCTCCATCAACTGCCAGGGTTTTGTTAAAACCATGTATATAATTAGCTATTTGAAACGTGTTATCGCGTAACGTGTCTGTGACGATATATAATACGTCATATATAATGATATCTGCTGTACGTTACATTAAGCACTTTGTGTGATATACCTTATAGACATAGGATTGTGACATGCGTTGAATCTTAACCAGGTTTAATAAATAGTTCAACAAAGCACTCGCAAATATCATTGTAGCGTTGAATCGGCAGTCTAACAACAATTGTAAATTTGTGGTTGAATTGGGAACGGTCACAAGATTATAGGTCATTTGGGAGCGTGTATGGCAAACATTACATTTTTACGGAAGCATA